GGCTCGAACTAGTACCCAAGTGCTAAAAAGTACGATTTGTTGCCGGTGTCTGGGGCTCGAACTAGTACCCAAGTGCTAAGAAGTACGATTTGTTGCCTGTGTTTGGGGGTCCCCAAGTGCTAAGAAGTACGATTTGTTGCCGGTGTTTGGGGCCCGAACTAGTACCCAAGTGCTAAGAAGTACGATTTGTTGCCTGTGTCTGGGGGTCCCCAAGTGCTAAGAAGTACGATTTGTTGCCGGTGTCTGGGGAGGGGGGGTTTGGTGTGATGCAGAACTTTTAGGGTTTAGCATGTAGAGCTTTTTTGTTAGTTTATATACATCCATACACTCGATGGAAATGGTGAACGCAAGCTGTTGATAAAATAATGGAACTTTGTATTTTCCAATGTTATGGGATTCTGAGGGTGGGTGGGTGTTATGTCCAAGTTGTGAATGTAGCTTCTCTTTAAAATTGCTCGAGCCGGGAGCGGCTGAACCCTGAACCCTAAACCCCAAACCCTGCAGAGGTACGTGCAGTCCTTCGTGAAGCCTGGTCTTAAGATGACGGAGATCTGCCAACGCCTGGAGAGAAAAACCCACGAGTTGGTCGTGGCCGGAGCCCTGGGTGCTCTCTGAATCATGGGTTTAGGGTTTAGGGTTTCTGAGTTGTGTACTGCTTGCATTGAATAGGAGTAGATTTGGGCTTCATAGTTTCGGGGTCTGGGTGGGTTTCCGTGGAGCGGTTTGGTGAACTCTAAACCAACAAGATTTTGGCATTGTGGCCTTCATGGCGAAGTTAGATGTGCATCCAGATTCCTGGAGTCAAAACCCCAAGAGCCCTACAGCTTCAAAGTAGCCCGAGAGCCACCCTGGAGGTCTCCGAAAGCCTTACTGTGGGGGTTTGGGGTTTAGGGTTTAGGTGTTTAGGGTTCAGGGGTTTGGGGGTTTAGGGTTTAGGGTTTAGGGGTTTAGGGGACCCTAAACTCGAACCCAAAACCTCGAAACCCTAACCTTAAGGCCCTAAAACCCTAAAGCCCCAAAGCTCCAGGCGTATTGGCCTCGGCACGGCGGCAGGGGACCCCCAGCTCGGCTACGCAAGGGTTTAGGGTTTAGGGTTTAGGGGTTTGGGGTCTTATGGGTCTAGGGGTTTAGGGGGCTTGAGGATCTAGGGTTCGTGTCATTTGCTTGGGGTTTGGGTTGAAAAGCTTCGGGTTTGGGGGTTTAGGATTTTGTTTGGATGTAGGGCTTAGGGTGTCCTTTGAAGTAAAGAGAGATTTTATGTACCTCCGACTCCAATCGCCACAGGTTGTTGCAGCTCGGACTGTATGTCTACAGACCAAGAGACATACATAGAGGCTTCTGGTTTCGAACCTGCATTCAACAGTATTCGGGTGCTAGTAGCGATCCTCCGAAAAAACCCAAAACCCAGTTGCCGAAGACACCGGAGTTGAGCTTCATCAAGCTGCGGAGCCAGCCGGGTGTTATAGGCCGAGACAGCTACCCTTGTTCCCCTCCAAGACTGTGACGCATGCCAACGCATGGGATTGAAGGAAACAGTCCGATGTCTCGTAGGTTCCACGCATCGTTGCAGCACTCGTCCATCAGAAAGTCGTGGCCTTACCACCGGGCTGGTAGTAGATGAAGCACCGGACAACCATTAGCCGCCTCCTTCGTAGGGACCAACGCACAACAGGTGGTTCACGGATTCGTTGTGATGGTCACGGTGAGGAAACACAGAGCGGTTGAAGGACACCATCACACTCGACCAAGAGGCTTCAGGAAGATGGTGTCGAAGGAACGCATTGATGTACCTCAGCAGCATCACGTGCTTAAACGACATCTTGCAGATCCCCTTCATGTTACCATGGGAGTAGGCTCCCCAAAGAAAGGCTTGGCCACCTTGTGAAGTGGTGCATGGCTGGTAGTGACTGGTAGTGAGAGCTTGCTGCAGAAGTCAAAGACTTGGTGATACTTGGGCGCACCTCCTCGCGACAGCAGTGGCTGTTCCTAAGGTGAACTCTCGAAGAGACAAAGCTGTCTTTGATTTCATAGCGGCATCAAGAGCCGCGCAAATAAGTCATGACCAGAAATTCATTTGAACCTTCCTAGGGAGTTTTCAATGGACGTGCTTCACAACATGCCACGATTTTAAAAACTCACGACAATTTTACTTGTCGGTTGACTTGTCATGATTTCTCTGCGCATGTCTGGATGAGCTTGTGACGAATCATCGAGCTACTACGGCACGGTCAAGCTCCAACTTGAGGAGCCATCGAAGATCATAAGCTGTGGAAAATTTTTGACCCACCCACCCTCCCAGGCTTTTATCGGGGGGGGGGGAAGGGGGGTAACACGGGTGCGATATCTCTCTTGGTGGCAAACATCCTTCGTCGGTAACCGTGTGCCGATAATCTGGATTGCCACCATGTTCATCGTCGCTGCAGTTTGAGATGCCCCCGACTGTTCGCTCAAAGAAAACAGAGAGGATCGAAGTGTCAGCGGTGAGCTGCTTTTTAATTCTTTACAAATACATCTTTCGGCTCTTTGAGGGTCAACATAAACTCATTTATAAAATATCTTATCCCTTATTCGCACATCGGAATCAAACATAATTTCTTTGTTGCCAGCAAAACCTTTCCTGCAACGAAATGAAGACGAAATGAACATCTGCAACATATAATGATGAAAAGCTCACAACATATTTTTGGGAATGACGTTTTGTGAAATTTAAAGACAGCGTCTTCAAGTGGTAGATTTCCCGCTTCAGGTTCTACCAGACGTTGTGTGAAGCACTTCAGGAATTTTACAGCTCTCGGCACTCTCGGCTCACAAGTTAAATGCCGGCACGCACTGTTTGAGGTTTAGGGTACTGTTGAATCAAACCTTGCACTTCTTCCGAAGTTTAGCAAACCCAAAAGGAGCATGATCCTTTTCTGGCATGGTACCAACAATTCAAAGCGCAAAACAGCACTTTTCCCAGAGGGGATGTGCGGCGGCGAGATTCGCGAGATTCGTGATAAGTTAGGAATTCAGTTTCCCCTGCAATGGGCTGTGGCGCCTCGGCGTCAGCAGAGCGAGTGAAGGATGCCAGTCACGCTGAGTTCGTCAATGTCTTGCAGGCCATTGTTTGCATTGTTGGGAGTAAACCTCAAACCCTGTAGACCCTGAGATACCCTGAGGCCTAAGAGTCAAGTTGTGTGATGCGGGTTTACTGCCAGACTCTTCATGCTGGAGGCAGAAACATTTGCACCAGTCTGTGCAGCATTCGCTTCCCTCGACGTCTTAGCCTTCAACGGTCAGAAGTGTAGAAAGTAGAAAGAGCAGGAATTTGGTCTTCCCAAATTCAGAACCATTCTGTTGAAACTAAAACCGCCGGACCCTGCAACTGACTTAGCACCCCAGGTTGTGGTGGCACTGCTCTGGATCAGGGCAGTTTACATTGCATTTTAATTTTGCTTCAGGTGACCACACAGAATCAACAGCAAGAAGCGCAAGACGTGGGCGACTTAGCATGTGCAATTCGCCACACCAAGGGGTGCGCTGCTTGACAACGAACGCCTTTGCAAGAACTGCGGGCCGGCCTCAAATGTAAAAGCAAGATCAACAGAAGGATCAAAAGGCTGCAGCAATGTTGTGTTTGTGTATGTGTCCTGCCATGTGCTGGTTCATTTTTCAGGATGCTTGAACACCGCACGTTTGCGCATGGATGTTGGTTGCTTTGTCCAAGGATGGTGAGCAAATGATCCGCATATGTCTCACAGTGCGGGAGCAGCCAGCCGTAGTGGCTTGCCCCGACATGAGCTACCACGGCTTCATCCGAGATGAGGTCGGGAGACCCTTCTTTGTGTTCCAGGGTCCAAACGCACATGTGCCTGTCGATGCTTTGCAACCAAGATGCGCGTGATGCATGTCGTGAGTTCCAGTCGTGTGAGGAGGGCGTCGACTGTATTGTTTCCTTCCCCGGCAAATATGCCACCGGCTGGGATGCACTCACCAGCGAGAAGACACACGGGCAAAGGAGCGTAGCCTGCGTGTTTCTCCAGACGCCTGAGGAAGGTTTGGGAAAGCATTGCCCAGACCCTGATGCTGATGAGCTTGGCAAGTGCTACTGCAGTAAGCTCTATGGTCTGCCGAATCTTGCTTGCACTTTGGGATATGGTGTGCTTGGAATTGCACAGGGCCTTGAGTGACATCGTGTACTAAATTTGGAACATCGGGCACCTCTGAGACACATGGCAGCAAACTCCCAACTCTTCTACAATGAGGAATGGCAAAGAGCGTAACTACCGCTCCTTCGGCTACCTCATCGAGATGAAGAAGGGCTGTTCGGAAGAGGAGAAAGCAAGGCAGCGCAGAAAGGCGGAGGCCATGAATGCGGTGCTGCTGATGGGTGATGAGAATGAAACGGAGCGAGAGGAGAAGATTAAGGAGGCTGAGAGGCGTTGCAGGCAAGTTGAGCTGAAGCGTGTTTTCAAGTTGCGTTGCGAAAGCTGTATATGGATGTCCATGTTCTCCCAAAATTCAGCTTGAAGCGCATTTGCAGGGAGCACGGGAAATGGAGGACATTAGTGGACAGCTCCTCTTGAAATTCTGATGTAGCTACATGCTCTTCAGGAAGCAACTGGAGAGGTCCAGGCAAATGAAGAAGCACAATAGCGACTGTAGCGACCGTAGCTGTAGCGACTGTAGCCCTTCAGTGTGTATAGGCTTTTGCGGTGTCAGATTGGGTTTAGTTTGGGGTTGGTTCGGGCGTGGCCCCGTCGGGCCAACGCCTTTCAACAAGACTTTGGATCGCGCTGGATCCAACACCCTACAGCATGCACACACGCAGCGCCGCCTAAAAACTCAGAAAGACCTGGCCAGGTAGACCTTGCAGCGGGGCCCGCAGAAACGCGTGCGAGCGTGCGTGCGTGCGCTTTCGCCCGACCCGAGCGCGGAATCCGCGCAATTCGCAAAACTTGCAGAAAGATGGGCTCCGGGAAGTTATACGTGGCGCCTGAAGTCGAACGTTTGTGCCAATGTTGGGCTTTGAAGCTGCTCAGGCAAGACCAGAGGCCCTCCTGGGGCTGCCAATGGTATAGGGACTGGAAGCTGAACGTGCAGAAGGCTCGGGACTTAAAACAGAAGCTCAAAGTGGTGTTCTTTCATGGACAAGTTGGAAAAGGCAAAGTTGATTGGGACCTTTTATCGACGGAAGATTTATGGAATGGTGTGGGGTGCGGCACATCCCAAAAAGGCGAGATTGCCACCTTGGACGCTGAGGGATGGAAGTACGAGAGCGTGGATGTCCTGAACCTGCTCGTGGACGAGTTCAGAGAAGGCTGCGAAGTCCATGCTCGTGACCTCAAAAGCCACGAGTGGAAGAAGGGTGTCATCGACAAGTTCATTGGAACCTCAGACAGTGGACTCCTGTCCTGGCAAATCAAGGCAGAGACCGGGGAGATGTTCGAGTCGCAGCACCTGGTGCACCTCCATGACCCCCAGGATGCGTCGCCTTTGAAGCTGGGCCGCGACACCTTGCTGGAGACGCTGAAGAGAGCTGTGCCGGAAGGCGTGGAGGTCGAGGAGGGCATCGCCGTCGAGGAGCAGAGGCTGCGGCATGGCGCCCTAGCAGTTTACATCCAGGTCCGAGCAGGCATCAAAGGCTTCCAGATGCTGCGAGATCAGGTGCTGAGCGGAGACCTAGAGATGCGCATCAACCAGGAGTTGCAGGCCAAGGAAGCTTTGCAGCTGCAGGTCAGCAAGACCGAGTTCTTCAGGCACTTCGAGCACGCAATGATGAGGAGGCTGGCCCTCACAGAACACCAGAAGCAGAAGCTACGCGACATGGCCGAACTCCAAGATCAAGACCTGCACCTGTCCGGGCCAGCCGGCAGTGGGAAAACGCTGGTGGCCGTGAAGCACGTGCTCCAAATCCTCTCAGCCAACAGCGATGGCTGGGTGCTGTACATCGCCACCTCCAAGGCTTTGGGCTTGTACTTTGTCACGTGGATGCTGACGGCCATGCCTCGGCGGGACCGCGCCCAGATGGAGCGACTACTTTGCAGGATCAGGGTCCAAGCTATAGAGGACCAGCATACCCCCGACGAGTCCATACTGCTGATCCCAAAGCTTGGGGACAAGACTGTCAAGCTGCAGCCGGAACCGGACACAGAGGTCCCGAAGGGACTGCTCCTCGCAGTTTTCGATGAGGCGCACATCACCTTCCCGAAGGCACACTGCGACGCAGCGATGCAAAGTCTTCTCCTCTCGGACCTCTCCCAGAGCGCCGAGCTGGAACATGAGTTTCCCGACATGACCAGAATCAAGCTGACCCAAGTGGTTCGCTGCTGCAAGAGAATCGTGGCTGGCGCAACTGCCTTTGAGTGCCTTGGTATGTTTTTTCTTTGGGGTTTCGCAAGGTGGTAAGCTTCACGTCTCAGCGTTCCATGAGTCCCTGTGTTTGTCAACGAGGTACACATCAGAGCCGCAAGAGGTGAAGGCATTGGGACCAGATGGACCACCGCTCAAGACCTTCATCTTCGCCCAACCAAGCGATGCAGACTTCTACTCATCATACTGCGAACAAACGGTTCGTGCTCTGCACCACATCATCCAGACATTCCCGGGACTGAGCATGACGGGCAGATTAGCCATACTGGTCCCCGACAAAAACTTTCGAGAGCAACTGACAAAGAAGCTTAGACAAGCCCTTCCCGCCAAGTTCGAACACAGATGCTTCAAGCTTACCCGCTTTGACTCGGCAGCCCGTCCAGTCCCCGTCCTTGTAGCTTCAAACGAAGAAGAGGAGGAGGAGGAAATCATCGTGGTGGATTCGCTGACGAATTCCAGAGGGCTGGAACAGATGCTGGTGATTGGCGTTGCACTAGATTCGCCAATTGGACAAGGTGCAGACAATTCGATTCGCTCAAGGATCTACCTTGCCCTCACAAGGGCACAACTTCTTGCCGTCGTGGTCAACCACGTCGTGCCAGAGGGATGGCTGGCGTTTCTACAACGCCTGGATTTCCGAGAGGAGACGCTTGGCAACACGAGGGAGATGAACTCCCAGGCAGCACACAAAGTCCTGGAACCATCGGGGCCAAAGCCACCGCAATCGGAGCACCCGCAAGCGGAGCAGCCGCAACCAGAGCAGCCGCAACTGCCGCAGCTGCAATCGCAGCAGCCGCAACTGCCGCAGCTGCAATCGCAGCAGCCGCAGCAACCCACCAATCTAGAGCCACCCACAGATAGCAGTCAGACGACGACTGCCATGCTATCGCGGCCGACCAAGGTATGGGATGTACGCGCCAATGTACACGTGGTCATCCCAGAGCTCCTCTTCAACCCACTTAAGGCGCAGCAGACTTTGCTTGGCGCACAGCACAGACATTTCACGGTTTTAGCCGGCTTGGTTGGTAGCAAGCGTTCTTGCATCGTGTTTGGGTGCCTGGTTGCTGTTGAAAGAGGTGGGATGGTGCTTATAATGCTGGTTTGCTTGGGCTGCAGAAGTGTGTGCAAATGCGTGCAAGCTCGCTTCTTGCTAAATTTCCCTAGACCAGGAGGGACTGTGTGCCAGACGGGTGCTAGGATGCAAGCCCAAGTGTCAGCAGCCTTTCCGATTTGGGAGGCCCTGAGCTGGAAGGAGGAGCGCACCAGCGGCACGCTGCCACCTGCAAGACGAAACCACGCGATGGTGTACGATCCAAAGAGTGAGTCCCTGCTGGTCTTTGGCGGCTTCGGGCTCGGCACTGCACAGCACTGCAAGGGCGCCTCAAGGTGTTTATAGGACTCCAGGCCCTTTAAAAGGGCCCTCTGAGCCTGTGTGCCGTTCGAGCTGAGGTTATCGTGACGGCTGCGGCCTCGGAGTTGAGCGAACTTGGGGGAGTGGTGAAGTGGTGAGCTGTGGAGGGCCGCAGCCTGTGTGCCATTCGAGCTGAGGTGAGCAAAGCTGCGGCCTCGGAGTTGAGCGAACTTGGGGGAGTGTTGAGCTGAACCCTCGAACGCCTCGAGCCGGCAATGGCTGCGCTGAGGTCTCAACGACTTGTGGCGCCTCGACCTCCAGGCAGGGAATGCCCGGGGGGACAGGCCCCTTTCAGTTCGGGGGGAGGCCCTGAGCAACTTCTGAGCACTTTGTTGCTTCAAGGGGGCGGGTTGGGCCCCGGTTGGGCTACACGTGCGCTCTGTGGGCTTACATTTGAGCTTGTTGGGGCGAATGTGGGAGCATCGGGGCCACGACGCTGCATGTTGCAAGGCGAAATCTACCACTGCAGGACAGTCTTTCCCACAGATCAATTCGGAGTCTTCGTGTTCAGCAGTCGCAAGCGCACGGGCGCGGACAAGGGCAAGCCCGCATGCCGGGCATGCCGTGCCTGCCTTTACATGCCTGACTTTACTTCGAGACGGCAGTGGGAATGCAGAGTGTTGCGCATTGCTGAGCACGCTGCGGCGAATCTATGGATAGGCATAGATTTCCCGTAAACCGTGGCCGACCTGCAATCCTACCCAACCATACCCAACCCATACTGCTACCGACCGGTCGTCTGTGCGCTTGTTTTGGGAGATGTGCGGTTTGCTATATGGCGAAGCACCAATCTTTTCCAGGCTGAAGTTGTTTGTGCTTCTTGGGCTCGATGCACGTTTCGCTTGGGAAATGGACAAATGTTACGAGGCTTCCGGGCTTGATGCATATCGCAGTGGCCGCTTTTCGTGTTTTGTCGGGCTCCTGTAGTTTCAGGCGAACCATAAGCCAAGACCAGAGCGCTTTTCGGGTTCAGGTTGTACCTTACCCAACCTCCGCAAACCTCAACTGTAAACCCTCAACCCTAAAGCCCAAAATCCCAACTGCTCAAAGCAATACGCAGCTTTAGCCCTGCATCCCTCCTGTAGCCTCAAGCGCCCTAAACAGCGCTCGCTTCATTTTCCCGCGAAGTGAGTGATTTTTTCGCGAGTTTATGAAAGAGCATTTATGAACAAACTCGTGAGTCTAACAGTGTTACTAGTGCATCAGTAAATCAGTAAATCTATGAATCCTCATTCGTATTCTCATATGAGCAAGAACGTTCAGCGATTGCAGCGTTTTCTCTTGAGCTTTCAGGGTTTGGGCCGGCACTGGTGTTGGAAAGTTTCAGGGCTTTGGCTTGCACTGTCCTGCTCGAGTTTCCTGGGTTTTCTGGGTCCCGAGGTTTTTTGGTTGCACCGTGCTACTTGGCTTAGTTGGGTCTTTAGGGCTGTCACGTAGCCCCCAACCCCCTCCCCCCCCCCGCCCCAACCAACCCCCTCCAGCCCCCACCTCCGTTGTGAAAACTTTGAAGCTTCGAACACCACTTGTACGGTTACCGCATGGCTACTATAGTGGCTACAAGATGCCCGCATGCCTTGACATGGCTTTACCTATTTTACCGTGAGAAGCTGTGAGAAGGCAGAGTGGCGGTTGGCTCGTGCATACGCTGTGGCCTTCGTATACTGACACTGACAGCAAAAGACAAGAAGCTGGCCCCTCAGAGGCTGCAATCTTATCAGCTAGCAGAGGGCCAAGTGGGAAAATAGGTCACCACAAAGAGACGAGAACCTCAACCGAAGCCAACTTGGCCCCAACAGACGCCCAACTTGCACCAACAGAAGCCAATACCCAAAAGGCCGAACGGGACATGCAGTCCAGCACTTGCCTAAAACTACCGCTTACGGGCTGGGGGGTGTTTGAAGGCTGTGCGCTGCAGGCGTGGAAATGCATGCAAGCTCGTGCTGTTGCCGTTGTTGCTTCCTCCCTAGGCAATGAGGAACCTTGGTCAGACGGGTGCTAGGATGTGAGCCCAAGTGTCAGCAGCCTTTCCGATTTGGGAGGCCCTGAGCTGGAAGGAGGAGCGCCCCAGCGGCACGCTGCCACCTGCAAGAGGTTCCCACGCGATGGTGTACGATCCAAAGAGTGAGTCCCTGCTGGTCTTTGGCGGCTTCGGGCTCAGCACTGCGCAGCACTGCAAGGGCGCCTCAAGGTGTTTATAGGACTCCAGGCCCTTTAAAAGGGCCCTCTGAGCCTGTGTGCCGTTCGAGCTGAGGTTATCGTGACGGCTGCGGCCTCGGAGTTGAGCGAACTTGGGGGAGTGGTGAAGAGGTGAGCTGTGGAGGGCCGCAGCCTGTGTGCCATTCGAGCTGAGGTTTGCTAAGCTGCGGCCTCGGAGTTGAGTGCATTTGGGGGAGTGGTGAGCTGAACCCTCGAGTGCCTCGAACCGCCGATTGCTGCGCTGAGATTTCAACGACTTGTGGCGCCTCGACCTCCAGGCAGGGAATGGCCCGGAGGGACAGGCCCCTTTCAGTTCGGGGGGAGGCCCTGAGCAACTTCTGAGCACTTTGTTGCTTCAAGGGGGCGGGTTGGGCCCCGGTTGGGCTACACGTGCGCTCTGTGGGCTTATATTTGAGCTTGTTGGGGCGAATGTGGGAGCATCGGGGCCACGACGCTGCATGTTGCAAGGCGAAATCTACCACTGCAGGGCAGTCTTTCCCACAGATCAATTAGGAGTCTTCGTGTTCAGCAGTCGCAAGCGCACGGGCGCGGACAAGGGCAAGCCCGCATGCCGGGCATGCCGTTCCTGCCTTTACATGCCTGAATTTACTTCGAGACGGCAGTGGGAATGCAGAGTGGTGGTTGCCCATTGCCGAGCGCGCTGCGGCGAACCTATGGATAGGGATAGATTTCCCGGAAACCGTGGCCGACCCGCAATCCTACCCAATCATACCCAACCCATACTGCTACCGACCGGTCGTCTGTGCGCTTGTTTTGGGAGATGTGCGGTTTGCTATATGGCGAAGCACCAATCTTTTCCAGGCTTAAGTTGTTTGTGCTTCTTGGGCTCGATGCACGTTTCGCTTGGGAAATGGACAAATGTTACGAGGCTTCCGGGCTTGATGCATATCGCAGTGGCCGCTTTTCGTGTTTTGTCGGGCTCCTGTAGTTTCAGGCGACCCGCAAGCCAAGACCAGAGCGCTTTTCGAGTTCAGGTTGTAACTTACCCAACCTCCGCAAACCTCAACTGTAAACCCTCAAACCGAAAGCCAAAAATCCCAAAGCAATACGCAGCTTTAGCCCTGCATCCCTCCTGTAGCCTCAAGCGCCCTAAACGGCGCTCGCTTCATTTTCCCGCGAAGTGAGTGATTTTCGCGAGTTTATGAAAGAGCATTTATGAACAACGCCGTGAATCTAACAGTGTTACTAGTGCATCAGTAAATCATCAGTAAATCTATGAATCCTCATTCGTATTCTCATATGAGCAAGAACGTTCAGGGTTTGCGGCGTTTTCTCTTGAGCTTTCAGGGTCTGGGCCGACACTGGTGTTGGAAAGTTTCAGAGTTTTGGCTTGCGCTGTCCTGCTCGAGTTTCCTGAGTTTTCTGGGTCCCGAGGTTTTTTGGTTGCACCGTGCTACTTGGTTTAGTTGGGTCTTTAGGGCTATCATGTAGCCCCCAACCCCCCCAACTCCCTCCAGCCCCCACCTCCGTTGTGAAAACTTTGAAGCTTCGAACACCATTTGTACGGTTACCACATGGCTACTATAGTGGCTACAAGAGGCCCGCATGCCTTGGCATGCTTTTACCTATTTTGCCGTGAGAAGCTGTGAGAAGGCAGAGTGGCGGTTGGCTCGTGCATACGCTGTGGCCTTCGTATACTGACACTGACAGCAAAAGACAAGAAGCTGGCCCCTCAGAGGCTGCAATCTTATCAGTTAGCAGAGGGCCAAGTGGGAAAACAGGTCACCACAAAGAGACGAGAACCTCAACCGAAGCCAACTTGGCCCCAACAGACGCCCAACTTGCACCAACAGAAGCCAATACCCAAAAGGCCGAACGGGACATGCAGTCCAGCACTTGCCTAAAACTACCGCTTACGGGCTGGGGAGTGTTTGAAGGCTGTGGGCTGCAGGCGTGCAACTGCATGTCAAGCTCGTGCTGTTGCTTCCTCCCTAGGCAATGAGGAGCCTTGGTCAGACGGGTGCTAGGATGCGAGCCCAAGTGTCAGCAGCCTTTCCGATTTGGGAGGCCCTGCGCTGGAAGGAGGAGCGCCCCAGCGGCACGCTGCCACCTGCAAGAAGTGGCCACGCGATGGTGTACGATCCAAAGAGTGAGTCCCTGGTGGTCTTTGGCGGCTTCGGCTTCGGGCTCGGCACTGCACAGCACTGCAAGGGCGCCTCAAGGTGTTTTCTTTTTCGGTCTCCAGGCCCTTTAAGAGGGCCCTCAGGGCCTGTGTGCCGTTCGAGCTGAGGTGAAGCCGGCTGCGGCCTCGGAGTTGAGCGAACTTGGGGGAGTGGTGAAGTGGTGAGCTGTGGAGGGCCGCAGCCTGTGTGCCGTTCGAGCTGAGGTTTTCAAAGCTGCGGCCTCGGAGTTGAATGCATTTGGGGGAGTGGTGAAGTGGTGACCTGTGGGGGGCCGCAGCCTCCGTGCCGTTCGAGCTGAGGTTTGCAGTGCCGCGGCCTCGGAGTTGAGCGAACTTGGGGAAGTGGTGAGCTGAGCCCGCGAACGCCTCGAACCGCCGATTGCTGCGCTGAGGGCTCAACGACTTGTGGCGCCTCGACCTCCAGGCAGGGAATGGCCGGGGGGACAAGTCCCTTTCAGTTCGGGGGGAGGCCCTGAGCAACTTCTGAGCACTTTGTTGCTTCAAGGGGGCGGGTTGGGCCCCGGTTGGGCTACGCGTGCGCTCGGTTTAGGTTGACTCTACAACCGGTTTGCCGAAACTCTGACTTCCTCTGCCTGCAAAGTGACCAAGCCCTTAACATGAACCCA